TGCTATCTAAGTACAGTGATTTATATACAGTACAGGGGTGTTGCCCTTGGAAAAAAAGGTGCAAACACCTGGCAAGTGATTGGTAACTGATGAGTAAGGAATGTAAGCAATGGGTAATCATCTTGGAAAGCATGGGTAAGCATTGGTAAGGATTAGCAAGCCAAAAAGTGAAGAATCAGTAAGCAAAGTCAAAAGATTGGTAAGTATTGGCAACAGGTGAGTCAAAGACAGTCAGAACATCAAAGTATGAGTCAAGTAATGTCAGGAACTGGGAAAGTGCACTGGAATCACATTAGGGGGAGGCTGTGCATGTCACATCTCAAAGAGATTGCTTCTAGGCCAAGGTGGGATGACAGAGAGGCAGTGCTGATCTGATGCCAATATAGTACATCCAAAAGTGGACAGGGTGAGTCAGATGTCAACAGGGGTCAAGCTTTGGGGGTCTGGGGGGTGACAGGAGCATAGGGGATCACAACCTTCCCCCCCAAACCATCCTCTCAGTGAAGCAAATAAAATCTTCATGAACAAGGCTCTGTTGGAAGAGGGGATGAAGGGGGAGTGTCTTCTGTTGTATCTTGCAACAAGGAGGCAAGATGTGCATCATACTCATCATGGATGCAATCAGGGAGAGTGGGGAACAGTAGATTATACTGTAGCTGTTGCAATCTTGGAAGAATGATGGACAAGACTGGTATGAAGACATTGCAGGGAGCAGGGAGGAAGGATCCATATGCTTCTTGGACTGGTGAGACTGAAATGACCACATAAGACCTTTCCAAGCAAATGACAGACCTGAGGTGACCAAAGAACATCCTCCTAGAGGTCATACTGACAAAAAGAACATGCTGTCCAAGCTGGATGGGCTGAGAGGGCACAGACAAGGGTGGGATGTACCAGGATGCTTCAGGACAGAAGCTGGTAGGAACTCCTGGTAGATATATGTAGCCATGGTCCCTAGCAAAGGGGACAAGCAAAATGATTGATGTAGAGGCAGCCATATCAGAAGTAGTTAGCGAAATGAGCATCTTTTGGAGGGAGTGCTGTAGAAACATGTGGAGTGTGCAAATCCTTTCCAATTTTGGAAGGTAAGATTGCGTGGATGAGCACTACAAGTGAGTGTGGGAATGGTCTCTGTATCTGCAGAAACAGTGGAGACATGCCAAAAACCAGAATGCTGTACACAGGCACTTAAGAATTTTAGCCAGTGCTTAACTCACTCCCTTTCTTTTTCTCTGGCACTGATGACTTGTTCTTGTGTGAGGGATGACTGCCAACATTTCTGGCTGTCCTTCTTCACATGAGGGCTATTGTCTTCATCTCCATTCATCAGCTGTATCCATGTCCACCTCACCAAACACCTTTGGTGTGTGACACCACCCATCTGCATGATGGCCTGAGTAGCTTTACTTTTGTTGCAGTTTATGATACAAATCCTTTAGCTCTGAGTACCCACCCAATCTATGATGTCTAAGCACCCACCCATTTGCAAAATCTTGGCAACACTGCCTGTCCAAAGTTCAAGAGCCAGCATATCCTAATAAAATACAAGATCTGCATTGCCTACTAAATCTTACATTAAGTTTTGCAGCTTCATATCAACAGTTCTCCAGTTGCAACTGGTCTAGGTAGTAGGTCATCCATCCACAGTGATTGACACATGGGAACATGCACTGACTGATGTACATTGGCACACATGTAGTATGCCAGGCATGCTCTGTCACTGTCTACAGCTCCCACCCCATGCTCCAATGCTGAACCTGAAAATGCAATGATCATCCCTGGGTTGTAGTGCAGCCACAGATTCAACATTGGAATGATAAAGTCCAAGGGAAGGTAGTCACCCACAGTTACCAGCATGTCATACCATGGATCCCATCCATTGATATCCCTGTGGTAACAAGTTGCCCAATTCACCATCACAGACATGCTGCTATATGTGGAGCTTCATATTGGCAGTATGGAGCTCATATCCAAATCTGCCCATTGTTCTGCCTGTTCACCAAGGTGGATCAATGCTTCCCTGCCATCTGCATACATTCACAGATGGATGACATGCAGGATCACAGATAACAGGGCATTGGTGTCAGACATTTGGTCAACCCATTCCCTTGTAGAAGTGTTTTCTGTCCTGGATTTGAGCAGCCATGAGGCTTCTGGGAAGCCATTTTGGGGCTTCAAGATGGATGAGCACTTTATTCACAAGGCAAGAAATGATCACCCACCCCATGACCCTGTTGAAACCATGCAGGTGACAGGTTGATGGTGCCTTTCAACTCAGCATTATCACAGAAATATGACTTGTCCATCTGCCATGCCTGTGGGGAAGCCTTTATGCTCTCCCACAGTGGTTCCCTCAGAAGACGAAGGCAGTTCCATACATCAGCCTTCCATTCCATTAAGTCAGTAGAATATGAGATTCTGCATTTCCTTACCCTTCTTTTTGAGCTGAGAGCATCTGGCAAATACCATACATGGATGGTGTTTAAGTTGGTCACCAGAATGGATGGCTCAGTCACTTCCATGTATCTCTCAGCAGCTTATGCATTGCAGGTTTTTCCACCCTGATTTTTCCTGACATTGACTGCAGAAAGATAAAAACTTCCATCACACCATTATGATGGACTTACTTGGGTGATGACAGGCCTGTGAGATTACTGACAATATGTGATCCACTTCACATAACACCAGAAATGGAATTGATATATCTGGAAGGGTGCAAGGTCTGCTGAATACCTCCTCTTGAAATCTGGCTTTCATGTATGATGCAATGCAGTCTGTTAGTTCCATTCACCATCTGTGGGGGGTTTTAGACATGTCTTGCATAGTGTTCATGATTGGGGTGGATGAGGTTGGAGTTGTATAGCAGGCAAGCCACTTGCTGCTTGTTGGAAAATTATGGCATGTCAGGATGCTTGCCTCAATACTTTACTGTGATCTGATCAATATGTTGTGACACTATACATGCTATTAATGTTGGGCCTGTCTTATGTTGCAAAAGGGGTGGATCTTACTAGATGGACCTGTCCTTGTTTTATGGTGATATAAAAGATATTACTGAAGGGCCTGTCCATATGTTATGACCATATAAATAATACTGCTGAAGGGCCTGTCCTTATGTTGTGACCACATAAATGATACTGCTGGAGGGCCCTTCCATATGTTGTGACACTATAAATGACATTACTGATGGGCCCATCTTTATGTTGTGACAGGGGTGCATCTTACTAGACAGACCTGTCTATGTGTTGTGACACTGTAAATGATATTACTGACAGGCCCATCCTTATGTTGCAACAGGGGTGTATCTTACTAGATGGGCCTGTCTTTATGTTGCAACAGGCATACATGTTGCTATTGACAGGCCCATCCATGTGTTGTGACCATGTAATTGATATTGCTGAAAGGCCCATCTTTATGTTGTGACATGGGTGCATCTTACTAGATTGGCCCATCCATGTGTTGTGACCCTGTAAATGATATATATTGAAGGGCCTGTCTTTATGTTGTGACAGGTACATCTTACTATGGACAGGTCTGCCCATGTGTTGTGATGGTATAAATGGTATTATGGAAGGGCCTGTCCATATGTTGTGACACTATAAATGACATTACTGACAGGCCTGTCTTTATGTTGCAACAGGGGTGTATCTTACTAGACAGGCCCATCCATGTGTTGTGACCCTGTAAATGATATATATTGAAGGGCCCATCTTTATGTTGTGACAGGTACATCTTACTATGGACAGGCCCACCCATGTGTTGTAATGGTATAAATGATATTATGGAAGGGCCTGTCCACATGTTTTGATGTTATAAATGATATTATTGACAGGCCCATCTTTATGTTGTGGCAGGGATGCATCTTACTAGACAGGCCTGTCTATGTGTTGTGATGCTGTCAATGATATTACTGATGGGCCTGCCCTTATGTTGCAACAGGCATACATCTTGCTAAGGACAGGCCCATCTATATGTTGTGACAGGGGTATATTATCCCAAAGATGGGCCCTTCCACATGTTGCCAACTCTGTAATCTATCACTCTTTATGTTGTGACCCTATAAAACATATGATGGGCAGGCCCATCCATATGTTGCAACCTTCTTCATGATACAATAGGCAGGCCTGTCCTGATATTGTGACTGGGGTGCACACTACCATGGATGGGCCCATCCATGTCTTACAGTAGCTCAGCATACTTACTTGGTCACAGGCCTGTCTAAACGTTGCAGCATCCTTACCCTCCACAGGCCCTCCCATATGTTGTGGAATTGTGCTTATGGGCCTGTACATATGTTGCTCTCACTATAGGCCCTCAGGCCTGTCCATGTGTCATGGCTAATCTATTTAGATGGGCCCATCACAGGATCTATATAAGTGTTGGCATTTTGGCACACAGGCTACCTATATGTTGTGACTAAATGGACTACATGGGGTCAAGTACAGGGCTTTATAGTCTGGGCAAACCTGGAACCTAAGTAGGACAGGGTACAAGTAAAGGAAAGCTATGCAACAGTGCATACATACAAGACAGGCCAGAACAGAGGCCAAGGGTATACTACTAGTGTAAAGGGAACAGAGACCATGGTAAAAGAAAAGAGTCTGAAAGAAGGAATGCAACTGGAGCACAGCAGCCACAGGTATAGTATTGCACAAGAGGGTGCAAGGGTGCAGGAAGGTAGTGAGGTAGGCAGGAAGCTAGCATGTGAACAACAGTGGATGTGAGTGGTCTGGAGATGTAATGACAGTCATGGAACAGTTGATGACAGGGGCTTATGTGTCCAAGGAATGTGGATTCCTTACACCTGTGGGGGACTTGGATGCTGACCATCCCTGGTCAGCCACATGGCACAGAGGATGTAAACAACTTTGCCACATGGTGATGGCAAAGGTGTGGTGCTGAGAATTTGAGAACACCAGAGGATTCTGCATAGAAGTGAGGGAAGCATGGTGTTGAGGAATATGAGAAGGCTGTTGAATGCCACATAAAAGCTTGCTGGACTACTTGCAGCCCTGCTTCATCCTTGCACACCCATTGCATGTCTTGTGGCTTGGCCCAATGCATGGCATTCCCTTGATGGTGCACCATGCACAGGGCACTGTGTGCAGTACTGACCTGGGGGGGATGGATACCTTGGGCCTCTCATCATCATTGCTTTCAGTGATCACCTGTCAAGATCACTGTGTGGTCACAGTGTCAATCAGACTACATGATGCACCAGCAGTGACTTACCTTGCAAGCCAGCTGCAGGACTTCCATGTGGGACATCTTCACCACACTGTCATCACTGAGCTCCACCACAGTCTCCTCCCCCATCTGAACATCCTGCTCAGCCTTCACACATGCGTCAGCTTCCTCCATGGCCCACCATTCATGGAGATCATCAGCCTCAGCCAGCACAGGAGCATCCTCTGTGTCAACCCACACAGAGACCCTAAGTGCCTTCCCTTGCTCGACCAATGGCATCAATACCACCTGCAGCACACTCATCAATATTGCATGACCATGTCACCAAGCAAAACACTTACCATCTTCTCCTCCCAGCACCTTGGCCAGGTTGTCTTCTCCTCTCACATATCCTCCCAGTTGTCAGGCACACATTTTGCCTCTGCCATGAGCCCTGCTGATGCAACTGTAATCTGCTCTTTCAAGGAAGCCTTCTCTGCCTCTGCAGGGTCCAGGGTCAGTGCACATATGAGCTGGGAGAGTCAGTGGACATGGTTCACAGACATAGTGATATGAGAGAGAGGAATTGATGAGGGGGGGGAAGAATTGAATCAATGTGAAGGTTTGAGCTGTGCACTAACACCTATATACTTAGCAGCCATGAGGCACTTATGTCATCAGTCCAGATGCTTTTATGTGGCATTCAATGGCCTTCTTGCATTCCTCAGCACCATGCTTCCCTCACTTCTATGCAGAATCCTCTGGTGTTCTCAAATTCTCAGCACCACACCTTTGCCATCACCATGTGGCAAAGTTATTTACATCCTCTGTGCCACATGGCTGACCAGGGATGGTCAGCATCTAAGTCCCCCACAGGTGTAAGGAATCCACATTCCTTGGACACATAAGCCCCTGTCATCAACTGTTCCATGACTGTCATTACATCTCCAGACCACTCACATCCACTGTTGTTCACATGCTAGCTTCCTGCCTACCTCACTACCTTCCTGCACCCTTGCACCCTCTTGTGCAATACTATACCTGTGGCTGCTATGCTCCAGTTGCATTCCTTCTTTCAGACTCTTTTCTTTTACCATGGTCTCTGTTCCCTTTACACTAGTAGTATACCCTTGGCCTCTGTTCTGGCCTGTCTTGTATGTATGCACTGTTGCATGGCTTTCCTTTACTTGTACCCTGTCTTACTTAGGTTCCAGGTTTGCACAGACTATAGAGCCCTGTACTTAGGTACAGAAGGAGACCTCTTGGCACTCAGAAGGTCACTACAAGTTTCTTTTTCACTTCATCTACACTGCATGTCTTGCATACTGCCATGCATGAACTACATATACCACTCACAACACTCACACCACCAGTACTACACTGTGGACCATGCTGTGCACATCACAAATCATTACTGCTACATAGTGCTGAGTCCTGCCTTCTAGTCTCAACAGTCCAGAATCCCTTGGGATGAGCAATTTGTTCCCTTCATTTTATTGTTGTTACCTAAGCCATCTAGCTTGTATTTTACAGCTACTTGGACTTTTCCTACAATGGTGTGTAACTTTACTTTCTTTGGTCATTGAACTGTAGTACAACTACTATCTCAGCTTGAGCATGCCATTCATCTATTCCAAACAGGGGAGGTGCAAGTTGACAATCAGATCAGCTCTTGCAGTATGAAGGCAACAGCAAAAACTCCACCCAAGCTCAACAAGGTGTCCAGGAAGGAATCATTGAGCACACTAGCATTCTCCAAACAGAATTGGGGCATGAGCACTCACAACTATTTCACATCAATTTCTAAATGTGATGATGCTGCACTGAGTGAGATCATTGCAATGGCTCAAGCCCTCATCATGCCCTCATTGGAGATGTCACTGGATGATGGCAGTTTTCATGGTAACCTGATGGATGATGAGTTTTATCTTTCTGTCAGTACTGATCTATGCCAAAACATCTGTAAGACCCTGTGTATGCTCCACTGAGTATCACACTGATGAGTTGACAGGATGGACTCAGACTGAACATCCCCCAATTGCAATCTTCTACATTGTGTGGCATAGAAATCATTCCATACATATTCTGCATGCTCTCCTACCCTGCCTTTGCACCCTCAAACTTCACTCATTAGTATGAACATTTAATAATCATCTTGTTCATTTTGCACATTTTTTTCCACCTTCACTTCAACTCAAGATGACTAGTCCCTGCCTCTGTTTTGGATCAAGATATGTGCTTGTTTAATGTTTTTCATACTATGTTTGTGCCAGTGAATGAATGACATTTGGTGATGCAATGATTTGCAAGCTACATGATTGTCAAAAAGGTCCCCTTTGTGACAAGTCAGGATAGTCAAAAATGGTATGGATAGTCAAAACAAATAGTAGGGATAGTCAAAGATAGTTGATGCATAGTCCAAAAAATAGTATGGATAGTCAGAAGAATAGTACAGATAGTCAGAAAAATAGTATGGATAGTCAAAATAGAAATTAAATCTACTAGAAATAGTCCTGGTGACTATCTAGACATTTTTGCCTATCCACACATGTAAAAGTACAGATAGGCATGGATAGACATTGGTTAATTTCCTGATGAACATAATATCAGAGCATCTGTCCATGGGTTGGAAACTGTCACATGATGGATATTACACACTCCCAGAATACATATGACTTAGAAGTATGGAATTAAAGAAGAGACATAATATCAGAGCATCCTTCCATGGTTGGAATACGGTCCGGAAACTGTCATGCAAGGTCCTGGGGGCCAACGCTCTCTCGACCCCACACACTTTGACCTCACAACATATCCTTTGCTCTCACAAAACACCCTCTGGCCTTCCAAACTCCTCGCCCTTCTCGCAAAAGACGCCCTCAACCCTCTGAACCCAGAACGCATGACGACGGAGGTGACTCCGGTCAAAGCAAACAAGTGAGTGATGAAGCGAGTACGAAGCAGGGGGGTGGCTGCTCTTCGAAACGCAGTAGACGGCGCGAAACGGCACGGAGTAATTACACAGCGCAGCAGCTGGCACCCTTGGCCTTTACGAACTAACTCTAAGGTGATCATATGTACCCACAAACCTCTATCAGTTGTGTATTCACCATCCACGCACGTGTCGCACTCTCGACTCCTTTTCGTCCTTAAGACGCTCTAGTACAAAAGTGAGCAAAAGATATTTCGAATACAAGTGTTGGGCTGAGTAGAACCACCCAAGCTTGGTGCGACTCGGTTGAACGACGACGCACGATGGCAAAAAATGTATTAAAAAAAGCTAATTATTGATACGCTCACCGGGGATTTCGTCCTGCCCATCCCCTCCGATCTCATGGTGTCGGCGCTATATGCACATGTGCATCCTTGGTTTCTCGTATCTTGTCTGGTGTCGAGCCCGGCGGCCGAAGCTCTTGTGCTAGGTGCTACTGTGCGACCTCGAGTCCCCTGTCTTCGTTGATTACTTTCTTGAGGCAAGAAACGACGTGTTTCAACGTTGTACGTGCTCGGACTATAGTAAAATGCTTCACCTTGAGCCGGTAGATCCTCGCGCCTCTTTGCGTGTCTTGCATGAGACCTCGTCGCCCTTGCGGCTGTTGCTTCGTTGCGAACACAGACGCGTGCCTCTTGGTGTATACTCTAGAAAAATATAGCCGTGAGCGAATCATCGTAAGAATGACAGGAAACGAAGGGCGCTCAGGCCCTACGCATGAATCTGTGTTCCCTTGAATTCGCCGTGCAGGGCTTCGTCGTACTAGCTGGTGTCGCCTCTCTCCAATCTTCGTGACACTATCCAGCATCCTTCGCGCGATCTTGTGTTTGCTCGAATGTTGCCTTCGTACTTGCAAATGCGATTGTCCTTGGTAGTAGTTGTCGAATAGTCTAAAACAACGTAGGCGTAAGCGCAACAGTACGAAATCAAAGCAGAAACTTGAGCCGCTGAGTGCGGCTACCAAGATCGTCCGACTCGAAACGTTGTCGCTTGACATCGAAACATGGCGCCGTCCTACTCAAACTGTTCAGATGTCGCTGTGTACATTGCACAACCGCCCGAAACCGGTCGTTGAGTGGTTTCGACGGGCGTTGAGTCCATCCCGACTCTTGTCCAGCTGATCCTTCACTTCTAAACTTCGCCTTCTCGCTTTGTATGGCCCCTTCGCCCTACTCGTAATAACACCGTTGGACCACGTCCCGTAGCCTCGCATGGGCGGTCCACCGTCTCTCTTGGTACGTTGTCATAGATTCTTATATCCTTTCCGCTCGAGCATTGGTTACACCCCATCATAGATACTTGTTTTACCTAGAGCAGCGTAGTTGTAAGTAAAACGGCACAAAAGAAAAGAAAAAGAATGAGCTATCAGGCTCAACGCGTGGATCTACTATGCCTCTGCTCCATCGAACGTCTGCTCTTGCTTCAAACGACCATCGTTCTGCGGGGAACGGTTGCGCTGTCGCTCGTGCTCCTGTCGTCTCTGTAGTCGTTCGTATATCCCTTGTACTTTTAAACACGATTGTCTTCGCTCGCCTTCGTCGCATATTCTTGTAACGTCCCAGAAGTAATCCGACTCTCCATTTGCGATGAAGAACGCTTTTCCATCAACTTGAGAACGGATAGTGGGATGCTCGAGTTCATGTGGGTCGAACGGGGAGTTGAACGCAGGTAGGATGGATCCGGCGTCAGGTGGTGTGACATAGGGACCGAGCGGCTGCGCAGAGCTGTGTGGTGTGCGGTGATATTCAGTTGTGACAAATATGGGAGGGAGAGCACAGTGTAGAGATTCGTTGAGTTTTGCTGTAGCACTTTCGGACTCTAGTTTGGATTCGCTCGACGTGGTAGAGGCGCAAGGCTGTTTATAGGCGGGCTGAGGTGATGTTCCCGATGTAGGTATAATCGAACATATCATTGTTGTCACCGATCTGGATGCGGGTTCGACTGTGCTGATACAGGACTCCAGCTGCAATGGCTGCGACGATGATAGTTCGGGTGCCTTCGACGTTGACCTTGTAGTAGACGGAGGGGTCCTTTGCGCTGTGCTGCAGTAAGGCAGCACGTACGATACATGTAGCGCCCGACTTTTTCAATACATCCAACACGTCCCGTCTGCCTGTAGTGTCTCCCATATAAAACGAGACATCACGGTGTCTCTGTACGACATCTAACACGGAGATAGCGTCTGCTCTTGCCAGGTGCTCGACAATATGTCGACTTCCAAAACCGCTTGCACCGATGACAAGGTAAATATCTTTCTGGAGGGACTCGATTGTGGATCGTCTTGATCCGAACCTTCGTACTGTCGGCGTTTCGTAGCTTGGAACCTCGTCGATACCCTGTAAAAGTTCGTATCCCCTAAAACGTGGTAGTTGTAAGTAAAATGTTTCAAGGAAAAGGCTAAACCTTGGGAAGTCGAGCCCATTTGGCGTGGCCCCGATGTCTCTCGCACGTCGTGCGTCCCCTCGTATCCTCGAAGGTCGACACTGTGGTCCCAACGAAAGTTGTCGTACTCGTCCCAAATGATCCTATACCGTATGTCCGAACTGATAGCCTATTCTTGCCAGCATCGCCTCTATGCCTTCGGCTTGCCCTGGCCACTCGCCCCACTCGTAGTAGCACCCTCGTACGTCGTTGTGGCTTCTGGTACCGCGATCGTATGGATGTCGGGTGCACTTCGTCGCAACCATTTTTCCCTAGAGCAACGTACTTTTAAGTACAACGTTCTGAAATCTAGGTGAAATTTCGAGCATTCAAGCTCGGCGGTCTCCATTGCGTTTCGTTTCCATTGGACGGCCGTTCTTGCCTCGCACGGCCTTCGATCTTATCGAGCGTTGTCGTCGTTCGCGCTTGTTTGCCCCATTCGTCGTATTCTTCGATTGTAACGATCTTGCGTAGTTGACTTGTAACGCGAGTCTTGTCAGTGCGTAGTACTTGTGCACGCACGTCCTTGAAGCACATGGCGGTCACGTGACCTTTGCTTAGTCAAACTCGCTGGACTTTCTTTGCAGGTCCCAATACCAAGGGTGTGTGTCGATACTCTCGGCAAATTCTTGAATAAAACATTTATTGCGAGTGTCCTACGGTCGCAGTGACTTGCCCGGACTTCGAATACAATGGCGCTGAACTTCGCCGTTCGTCGTCTGTTGACTTCGTCCTGTAAGTACCTTTCGGGCGGCTTCCTTCGCGTGATAAACCTCGGTGGCCTCTCGTCTCTAATCCTCTTCGCAACAACCGCGATCTGGACGTGTAGCCTACTTTGTAACATACTGTGAGTCAGTACTCCCCTCGTATACCAACTTCTCTGCCTCGACGCTGCTCACGAGCGTTGCGACTGCCTTGTCTTCTACCCTTGCAGACTTCGTAAGCTCTTCAAGTCTTACCACTTCGAACTCGAGTGGAACTTTCGATATGAACCACTCGTCTAACAATCGATGTACGTCTATGCTGACTGCGAGAGCTTCGACGACACCTCCTTCGATGCCTCGATCTCTTAGGTGGGCCTCCTGTAACAATATATCAATAGCCGGTAGGGAAACCTGGTAAAAATAACATGGAAAATCCCCTTGCGTATCATCATTCATCTCGAACTCGAGTGGTGCTTTCGTCGTGAGTGGCTCTTCTACCGCCGCTGGTTCGACTTGCTCGAACCTCGCCGTTTCCTGTAACTTCGTGGTCAGTAGTTCGCTTGTACCTAAAGAATCCTCCTTCATCTCGAAACGTAGCGCTTCTGCTGATCCGTTGACGCTGCCTAAGCCGCTACTTTTGCTCGTCGTCTTCCCGAGTGAATTCTGCGGCTGCGTGTGACTTGAACGTGCTGACGTCGCCCCGGCACGGCCTCTCGTGCGCGTGGCTTCTCAACACCATCGTCGCCATTTGCTCGCGCTGAGCACACTCCCATAGTATTGTAGCCTCCTGTGAGCCGACTGTCAGTAACTCGTACGTAGACGAACTTGGGAAGAACTTCGTAGTCTCAGTATGCAACGCCTCCATCTCATTTTACCACTAGCATTTCAACATGGTATGACCGCGTCATACTTCCCAGTCTTCCCTCAATTGGTCCCGGTCATATCTCGTCAGCTAGGTCACAGTGTGATAACCAGTTTTCGCTCAGCGGGTGTGAACCTTGCGACGTGCTGTGTGGCTGTGGGTCCATGGCCTCATGGCGCTCCATTTGGGTAAAAAATAATGCACGTGATACACACAGGTCTGCGCGGTTAGTGTAGATGCCGGTTACCTCCGGTAGCAAACGTCCATCCGAGCGACAAGCCTGAAGCACTGCCACCCTGCCTTTCTGCATCAGACGAACACCCCCCAACAGACCGTCGCTGCTCCCACTCCAGCTCCTCGCCCAATTATCATTCCTTTCGATTCACTCGTCGTTCCTTTTATTCCTACAATAACCCAATGCATCAACACCTAGGCCTCCAACTAAACCCTTCGAGCAGTGCACCATCTTCTACTACAGTGTCCGGAACTGATGCAGTAGCGCCCCATCAGACCCTTCAGCCGTCGCAGCCAGGGCGCCCGCAGACCAGACAAACCACCAGGAATCAGTCCCAAGCACCACCCCCTCCGCCGCTCATCCAACAACCAACCCAATCTGAGTCATCGGACTCAGTGACAACTCAGCCCCACGCAGCGCAGGCTGCACAGCCACAAGTCCAGCTGACCGCACCAGCGCAGTCAACCAGCCAAGCCAATATCCCCAACCCACCGGCCGATCACACGACAACAAACCTGGACCCCCCAACACCAGCAACATACGAAGCCATTATAGCAGCCTTAATGGATCAGCTCAACAACCGACGCGACCAGGAGCAGCCCACTCCCCCAGGCAACCATAACGCTGGAACTCAGACACCATTAGTGGCCGATGCAATGACCCTAGAGCGAATTCGCGAAGCCGCCACCTCCCGCAAGGAGGATGCCAAACGAATTGTCCTCCCACCAATTCGACCGGGCCTCAAAGTCAGCCCTCTAAGCCTTCGTAAGTCTTGACCTTGTGCCCATGCTATTCGTAAACAATGGATTGGTTATCACCTTCGTGCCACCACACCGTTTAACCGTCACCGTACACTGTAACCGTTTTCTGCTCACTGTAATACTGTTTCCACCGTGCTGCCACTTTGCTACACTGCCACGACCTTGCCCATTGTTACCTCTGAACCTACCGAGCACAGTCTGACTGGCGCTCCACAGCAATCTCGTCTAGAGTTGAAGAAGCATTCAAAATGTACCGTTATGTACCATACTCCCTCTTAACCCTTTCGGCCCGTGCCAAAGTGAACATGAAAGGCGAGGATGCAGCTTATATCCTCACACCGGAGGGCTTTGCGACAAAGTCACTCGATCGGGCGAATGAACTGTCCATATCTGCTGCAGATTGGATAAATGCTGCACGCACTGCAGAAGAGCATACTCGCTTCCACCATGGGGAAGAATGTGCCAATGCCCTGGCATCCCACCACCAAGTGGTCACCGGTATCAGTGCATCACACAGCTGGCTAGTGGCCATGCACTATGATACACAACAGCGTGAGATTGCACATGCAAACCCAGAGCATGACCTCACGGGCCTTGACATGGCGGCCTTAACCATTGCAAACAACTGTGCACTCCTTGCTGCGCAGAGCTTGACTATAGCCACCACCACCAAGCGCACAGCACCGAATGACCTTCCTTCCTTCCCCCGTAAAAGGCCAGTGCATCCCAGCAACAATCATGGTTGTTGCTTTCGCTGCGGCCACTCAGGGCACTTACCATCCAGCTGCACAGCCTCATCCACTGCAGCAGGCAAACCAGTTGCAACCCTCGCATCAAATAGAAAGAGCAAACATACCCTTATTGCGCCCGATGGCTGTCACTTCTGCTTCAACTGGGCCGCACACTCCTCCTGCTCATTTGGCCCTGAATGTTGAAATGTGCACAGCTGTTCAGTCTGTGGCAAGTCATCCCATGGAGCTGCATCCTGCTGCCCCAGAATCTGATCCATGCTGCATCACAACTCCTCTGATACCCAACTGCATTGAGAATTTACTATGTAAATACGATATCCTAAGTGACTGGTCCCATATCCTTTCTGGCCTACGGACAGGCTTTGATGTTGGTATTCATGAACCCCCTGCACATACCTGTATATTTCGACAACCACAGCTCAGCATTATCCCACCCCACTATAGTCGAAGCATACATTACTTCAGAGCAGAGAGCTGGCCGCTACTCATGAGGCTTCTTGCCCCTTGAGCTTGAAGCTCTAATTGGCCCTTTTCACACCTCACCTCTAGGCGTAGTGCCAAAGCTGAACTCAGACAAATTCTGCATAATCCAGGACCTGTCATTTCCCAGAGACGATCCATCGACGTCATCCACCAATTCTGGTATCAATGCAAACCTTTTTCCAATGGCTTGGGGAACCTTCGAAGAGACAGCTGCATTGGTCCTTTCTCTACCACCGGGCTCCTTAGCAGCCACCTTCAACATAGAATCAGCTTACTGCATTGTCCCGGTCTGCCCATCACAACAAGCAGCTCTGTGCATAGCATGGCAAGGTCTCGTGTATGTAGACAGAGCGCTAATGTTCGGCCTATCATCCAGTGCCGGAGTATTTGGCTCGGTTGCAGACATGCTAGTTGCAATCTGCAACGAAGCTGGCTTTCGCCTAATAAAAAAATGGGTCGACGATTTCATAGTTTTCCACACACCAGACCAGACCTGGACAGAACACGACTTCATAAACCTAACATCAGCTGCCGGCATGCCATGGAGTGAACGAAAGACTCGCCCGCTAGCCTCATGCCAGTGGTATATTGTTTTCGACTGGGATCTCGAAACAAAGACTGTAGCTCTACCATCAGAAAAACGGACACGTCTCATCCAACTACTGGAGAGCTGGCTAGCCCCAGGCTCTCGGCACACTCAGAAAGAGACCGAGAGCCTCCATGGAAAACTTGTCCATGCATCCTGCATCTTCCCACTAATCCGCCCTTTCCTGCGTTCACTATCCATCTTCGCAACATCCTTCTGCTCACAGCATGTTCGACGAGCATCTCCACACTATGTGCGGAGTGATCTACCATGGATACATACCTTATTAACCCAATCAAAGAGCGAGATATCACTGAGTCATACAGACCCAATAGACATCGACTGGTGGGGCGATGCAAGCTCCTCCTTTGGAATTGGAATTACAATAGGATCCTACTGGGCCATATGGAAATGGAAGCCAGGATTCCAGGTCGGTCCGGACCAGGCCTTCAACATAGGATGGGCTGAAGCAGTCTCCATAGAGCTAGGCCTTTTAATGGCTATACACATTGGCCTACCTGCACTTTCACATCACCGCAATATACTAGTTCACTCCAACAACTTAGGAGTAGTGATGGTTACCAACAAGGGATGCTCCCGCAGCCATCAGATCAACAAAGTCCTCCGCTGCTTGTACCTTCTCCAAGCTGACTTAGACGTAGCAGTGCAGGCAATCCATGTTCCCAGTCGGGACAACATTGCTGATGCATTATCCCATGGCGACATCAAGGGTTTCCTCACTGGCTTCCCAGCAGCCTCAACCCAAGTCTATCCCCCAATCCCCCCCTACCTAGCCAACATGTTAGAATATTTATAGGAATGATGCTATCTCCTACCACAAACACCTCTGCACTGCAGCTAAATCCATCCCCACTTCATCCAGAATGTAGAGCTGCAGAACGACTATTCCTGTGGAGAGGCATCAACACTCCCCCCTCTGCCACCATAGCCAATCCAATAATCCAGCAAATAGCAGCCACTGCATCCCATGCCTCCCTATGTGATGCTGCAGCATATGGATCAGGCATCTGCAAATTCCACATTTTCTGTGACATTTTCTCCATCCCCGAAGCTGAGCACCTCCCAGCATCCTTCTCACTACTACACTCCTTTGCCATATGGGCAGCTTCAGACCCCACATCACCTGAATTGGGAATTTTGGGCACCTCTGTGCCATTCGAACCTGTAGCACCATCTGTTGCTCGTAAGTACCTATCAGCAGTCCAAGCATGGCACATTGCACAAGGATGGCCTGCTCCACTTGATGACTCCCACCTCGAGCACATCAATTGGTCTCTCCATGGCCTCGAGAACCTCGGAGTGTGTTGCCACCACCCTCCTCATCCCCCTATCACAATTGCTATGCTATCAGCCCTGAAAGCCTCACTAACCCTATCAGACCCATTTGATGCCTGCATCTGGGCAATGTCGACATGTGCCTTCTTTGGGATGATGCGTTTTGGTGAAGTGTCTGTAGTATCGCATGCAGCCTTCAATCCAAGCCATCATCTCACAAGAGGCAATGCCTTCTTCGGGACAGACCTCAGAGGCTCCCCCTATGCCCGTTTAGACCTACCCACAGCCAAAACAGCCAAACCTGGAGAATCACAGTCAGTTTTCCTGAACGAACAGGGTAGTCTCTGCCCTCTGGTAGCCCTTCGTAACATGGCCATGGTTACACCAGCATCAGCCTCAGACCCACTATTCTCATGGAGGGACTCCTCAGGTCTTCCCCATCCCATGGTCAAATCCCGTGCCATGGAGTGCATCAACAGCATCCTATCAGCGTGGGGATGGGGGAACCACTTTGGCCACTCCTTTCATATCGGCAGAGCCTCCTTCTTCCTTGCCAAGAAAGTAAACCCAGAAATCATTCACATTGCCGGATGGTGGAAATCACTAGCCTATCAAGTATATATACGAGCCTTTGAGCAAATTGCGTCCCAGCACCTAGCTAATGCTGTATCTGAAACTGAGGCCTCCACTCTCGGGGTTGGGCATTTGGCAGGCACACAGCTGCAGGGTTCCGGCCTATGGGTGAGTGGCTCCGCCTGCCTTGCCTCTGCCGAGCTAACGCTCGGCCCAGCCCAACCACTGACAGGACAGATCCTAGCGAAATGCGTGAGACGAGGATGGATAGTGTAGATGCCGGTTACCTCCAGTAGCAAACATCCATCCGAGTGACAAGCCTGAAGCACTGCCACCCTGCCTTTCTGCATCAGATGAACACCCCCCAACAGACCGTCACTGCTCCCACTCCAGCTCCTCGCCCAATTGTCATTCCTTTCACCCACCCACCATGCCCTCTTCTTCACACTATAGCCACAGCCATAGATTAGCCCAGCCACCATTCTAATCTTAGCCCAATGATTACATACTGTTCGAAATGCTACTGCTATGCCTACGCAGTCCTGTCAGAGCGAGCAGGTGACCCGCCCTCCTGAGCGGCTCCGCCTGCCTCGCCTCCACCGAGCTAATGCTCGGCCCAGCCCAACCACTGACAGGACAGATCCTAGCGAAATGCATGAGACGAGGATGGAACACAATATATAATGTGCGTCACAGGATAATGCACGTCACAGGATAATGCACGTCACAGGATAATGCACGTCACAGGATAATGCACAACACAGGATATGCGGTGCAAGGCATGCAATGTCAGGAGTGCATGAATGGTTGGCCATTTATGGAGGTGAACTATCCCAAGTAAATGCGGGGAGTGACAGTCTAGATGATTTATGGAACTAGCAGGTAACTACATAGCATGGACTCTATGGTACTTTGATAGGAAGAGAGGTACACCATACTGATGATCCCATGAAGCACCCATGGGATGATTTGAAATGTTAGAACTTCAAAGTGCTAGTCAACCTGAAAGAACTCCTTGACAACCACTGCTGAATTTTTGTATGTGTTCCTCCTGTTAGTATGGGACATCATAAATCATGCTGCAGAGATGACTGGCATTAACTGTGGTGGAATGGAATGGGAACATCACTGCATCGATGGTTGGAAGCCTTTGGTGAATCATGATACTGTGGGCATGTCAGAAGTCAAACCCTAACCCTAACCCATTATTGGTGCTGCGAACTTTGAGTCCATTTGAGGCCTCCCTCAGGAAGATCATTTGCTAGGCCATAGTCCATGCAGAATCCACACTTTGGATGCATGCAAATATGCCTTTCCATAAATTTTGCCATTGTATTCACTCCATGTTCAATGTGTACCCTCATGCAATCAATAAATCGACATTATGTCTCCGAGTTTGTGTGGTTTCTGCATCAGGAAAATCTAGATTCTACTAGCAAATACTGTAGGCTTGTTTTGCTGGATGGCATCAGTTGAATACAAGCACAAGTTAAGTGTCATCCCTGAGTACATTATCACATATCGTGCATTATATGTCCTGTGTCGTGATTGTATATTCTGTGTCACACATCGTATATTGTGTATTGCGCATACCTTGTCACAAATTTATTTGGTCCATTGTCACGTGCCCCCATTGTAAGCAGTGTGTAATGGACCACTTGCCATTATAATGGTCAGGTTTGGCTAGATTATAGCAAATATGTGATATTTTATCTAAGATATAGTGCAAATGTGTGAAATATTATGTACAAATACCCATTTTTGGCAATCTTTCAATGACACATGGGTGGCATTGGCATGGCTTATAACAGAAGTGTGAACAGCCACCCTTAACATGTATTATAAAGTTCTTATCATGTGCCCAAGAAATTTGCGACACTCTGTGTATCACGCACATTATTTTTTACCCAAACAGAGCACCATATGGCCTCGCCAAGCTTTCATGTTGTCATATGCCATCATGTTATGATGCTGCATCTGTAACATTAAACAAACAAAAATAAAACAGCTGATTGCACAAGTTTTGCAGCACTGCTCCTGTGCAACTTTTTATACTACCCCTGCATAATTTTTAACACAGCCACCTTGTACCACTTTGCACTAGCTAGGAGGGCAGATAAAATAGATAAATGTAGGCAGGACATGAACACAGTTCATTGGCACCCTCCCCAGTCATCCCACCCAATCCACAAGGCTGTGATGCCCAGTGAAAATCAGAGCTAGCTAGACCTGGCCCCATCTATGGAGCAACTATGATTTGTATGTATTGGTATGTGTGACTATGTGACTACAGTGTCCCTAGTTACACATAGCATTTGATAATGTTCAATCACATTTCAACAACTTCACCATTGCACTATTCTGTACAATGCAATCCATTCCATGCTACATGATTCAGTCAATGTGTACAAGCTGCTAAATCCACTGTAAGACATTGTCATACCAGCCTCCTCACACTACAGCCATGGTGCCAGACCTGTCTCAACTCTGGTGTGTTTGCCAGAAGTATTGCAAGGGTTCATACTGCCAACTTAACACACTGAATACCTGGTGCCACCACCTGCATGAGGTGGAGGCAGACAAGGTTGACACAATACAGCTGGCTTCAAGATCCAATGCTTTTTGCAAGTTTCTTCACACTGCAGCTGGTTTGTCTACCAGCTCTTCTAAGAGGCAGGCAGATGGGAATGTTCCCAGTGAAACCACTGCTGCAAAGCATCCATGTGGATCACCAGTAAGGATACTTGGCTTATAGCACTTATTCTAGTTACAGGGATTACCTAGATACCCAGAGAGGATTCCACTGAAGGTATGTCAGTGATGCACTGTACAATGTAAATCTGAGCAAGATGGCCCAACAGCACAATCACAACCACACAAAACAGCAGCTTTAGATTCTGGTGATTATCTGGACACTGGCAGCAATCATAGCTTTGCAGATCAAGAGAACAGTATGCAGCCATGTTAATGTATTAATTATTACCTAGTAAACCCAGCCAACAAAGGCCAGCCAGCAGATCCAGTTAGCAATGACTGGTCAGCAGATCCAGTTGACAGCAGCCCACCAGCAGATCCACCTGATGACAACCAATCAGAAACTCCAGTTGGCATCAGCCCACCAGCAGACCCAGTTGACAATGACCAGCAAGCAGATCCACCCAACAACAACCAACCACCTCCAACAACCCCCAACCCTCTGTCTGGCCTCAACCTGGATGAGCTTGCACACATGGCATGCTTGCCCAAACTCCAGTGGAGTATGGCCTTCATCCAAGCAATCTGAAATGCATCACTTGACAATGGTGTCACTCTCACAGGAGAAGACCTTGACTGACTTTGCAACCTGCCTAAAGAACCCCTCCAAGTAGATGACCAGTGCACTGAACTTGTGCTTTCCATGTTCATCGCCCTAGAACACTCTTCTGAAAGTACATATGAGAAGATTTGCCAGGCTATTCAGAAGTGTTTCCCTGATGTAGGGCTCCCAAGCTTCCACCAAACAAAACATCTCCTTGCCAATCTCAGTGGCATCACTTCTGTAGCCAATCATATGTGTATCAACTCTTCTGCTGCATATGTAGGTCCTCTGTCCAACCTCAAGATATGCCCAGAATGCTCCAAGCTGTGCTATGACCAAGTCAAGCTCCACAGAAGCAATGGCAGGATCAAGCATCCTTGTGCCATTTTCCATACGATCCCAATTGCACCACAACTTCAGTCACTCTGGTGACATCCTGAGAGTGCTCAGAAGATGCACTACTGGCACAAATGAACTCAACAGATATTCCAGGAGCTCCAGAAGAATGATGGCCTGGTCGACACTTATGATGATGTGTTTTGTGGCTATTCCTACCTGGATGCAGTGGCCAACAACAGGATCCAGTGAGATGACACCCTTCTTATGATTTCAATCGATGGTGCACAGTTATATGACAGCAAAGAATCTGATTGTTGGATCTATATATGGATCATCCTAGAGCTTTCCCCTGACAATTGTTACAAGAAGAAACATGTCCTTCCAGGCATGATTATCCCTGGCCCCAAAAAGCCAAAAATCATCAACTCATTCCTTTTTCCAGGCTTACATCACCTGTCTGCTGTGCAGTGTGAGGGACTTTGTATCTGGGATGCCTCATGAGATTGCAACTTTACTTCGCATTTCTTTTTGTTTCTTGCATGCACTGATGGGCCAGGACTGCTAACATTAAGTAACTTTGTTGGCCATCAAGGAAAAAACAGTTGTCAAATGCTTTGCCCAATGAAAGGTCATCGTAAACCTGGTGCATCTCAGTATTACCCAGTCCTACTCAAGCCAGATAACTACAATTTAGTGGGATGTGACCATCCTGATGTTGATATTTGCAATATTGGGCCAGGCAATTCACAGAGGTATACTGAACAATTAAAATATCTCCTTGGTTCATGGACACAGAGTATGTATGAAGGATGGTGCATCGAGACTGGCATTGTGGGTCCAAGTATCTTGCTTGGCCTCCAGCCAGAGCTCATCCAAGGGATTCTGGAAGTCTTTTCATCCAAAATGATGCACTTGAGCAGTGCAAACATGGCTGCACTCTGGCTCGATCTCTGGCATGGCACCTTTGACTGTGCTACGAGTGACAATCGAAGCACTTGGACCTGGGCTGTCCTCAAGGACAATGCTACTTGGGAAGCCCATGGTCGTGCTGTTGCTGCATGTAAAATGTACATCAGTAAATCACTTTTGTTGGCCAGAGCTGTCCAGAGCTGTCCAGCACTGGACAGATTCCCTAGGACTACCAGCTCACAAAGTGGTCTACTGATGTATCTACCTGGTTTGTTTGACGTCGCACCTCATGACCCAAGTCTGCACTTGAACTCCTGGTACAAGGCAACTGAATACATCACCTGGATATATGGTTTATGCCCAGCCCTACTTTACAACATGTTACCCAAAATCCCTTGGAGAAACTTCTGTAAATTTGTTGCTGGACTTCACATCATGTCCCAATACAGTATCACCCCCATGCAACTATGGCTTGCCTGTCAACTCCTCAATGAATGGGAACCTGAGTTTGAACAGATATTTTATCAGCAGCACATTGACCACATCCCAATTATCTGTCCATGTGTCCACCTTACTTGCCATCTTGCTTCTGAAGTGGCACATGTTGGCTTGCCAATTTATTCCTCTCAGTGGACCATGGAGAGGACAATTGGCAATCTTGGCCAAGAGATTCATCAGCCATCTGATCCTTTCTCCAACCTTGCACAACAGGGCATCCGATGCTGTCAAGTGAACACTTTGAAGGCCATGATCCCACATCTTGACCCCCCCAAGAATAAAAACCCACATGCATCCACTGATCTTTGCAACAGCTTTGTCCTTCTTGCCAAACATGACAGAAAACCAATTATACTTCGAGGAGAAGAGGCAAGAGTCATTGCAGCATATCTCAGACTGCCCCAAACACCTAAGGTACAGCATTGGGCATGCCTTCAGTTGCCCAATGGCCAGATTGCCAGAAATTTCTGTGGTTCAGTCAGTCGTTGCAATGGTTCCCCACTGTCCTGTGGTACATGGAGTCATGGAGGATAGGTACTTCTTAGTTGAGAAGACAGGCATGGAGATTGCACATTTTGGCTTGGAGGAAAATGATGATGAGTAGGCCTACATATGACTTACATTGCTTTGCTAGACTTTGTACAACTTTGTAAAGTTTTCATGTTAACATTCAAAATACATGAGCTACACATGACACCAAGCAAGAAGAGAAGTGTATGTCCACAGTTAATTACATACAATAAAAGACACTGGGCAGCTGAAACTGTCAATTCTTAACAGCATGCTGGTTTTCCTTCTCCCCTTCTGGACCATGGCAGCTATCTTCCTTACACTTGACTGCTGCTGGGAACATCATGAATGCTTCATATGACACAATCAAGCTGTTTGGCAAGATCACCTTGAATGCATGAGGCCTACAAGGGGGCCAGTTTGGGTCAAATTTGTTCTTGTGCTTCATGGGGATGGTATCCTTTGGGACCCCACAGAGATGGACTGGGATTGCATTGATGGTGGTAGGGGGGACCTCATCATCATCAGAAGACATCTCATCACCATTGTCAGAAGACTCCTTGGGACTTTCATAAGGTGCCAGATTGTTGCTGAAAACATAAGCTTGAGAAAGTGTGTGTGATCTAACTTACTGTGGCTTTGGGACCATAATGCTTGCTTTGTGATTAGTTGTCAACTTCACTGTGTCTCGGTCAAAAACATGAGTATATGTGTGGTATGTGACTTACTATATTCATTTGGAGGGCCTTCAGGATCACTGTTTCCATCGTCTGAGTCTATTGTGACAGACTTTGATGGGTTCTTGAGATGTAAGATGATTTTCTGTAGAGCAGCAGTGAGGCAACAAACAAGACAGTGTAATGATCCATACGTGTGGACTGGTGTCTTCTGGAGTAAAATTGATCATGTATGCTGGCCATCCTTCCAGTATATTATCAACCTCAAGTATGATAATGTTTTCCAGAACTTTGAGAGTTGTGTTGTTGCTTGGGTTGGACATGTCAACATGCAAGTAGGATATATGCTGGGAATTTGGACTTGGAGAAATCTTAGCATGAAGTGACAAACAATGTCAAACAGATCGTTCCCTCCACCCACCATGTCCTCCGCCCATTCATCGTTCCTACCACTGCTTCCAGATGGCCAAAATTCGTGTCTGTTTTGCTCAGGATCCCTAGAAGACCCATTTAATTCTCTGAGCAACAATTATTTTACCTGTAGCAATAGCCAGACTCCAAGTCTAGCATCCAATACCTCGTCATGGGGTGCTAATCAGCATATGCATATGTCACATGGACCTGCATACCAGGCACAACTGAATCCATGTACATAATCACTCTCATCACATCTTTTACAGATTCAGTCCAATAATACCCCAATGTTCAACCAAGGCATCTCAGAGATGTCATCAAGCATAAGTGATCATCTTACTTTTTGTGCCCAATGAATAACATTTACTGCACATATATGCAGGTAGAAATCCAGTGCCTTAAAGACATGATCAACAAACTTCAAACTGAGAATGCTTCACTCAAGGTAGAACGAAACACTATGCAGTAAGTTGAGTTAAAGATGTCTTCGGAGTAATGATGGTACTTCAATTACAGATTACAGGAATGCATATAATACATTGGTTGCATGGCTGTACATTGACAAGTCAGATACAAGTACTATGTCAGCAGATGGTGCTATCAAAAGCACACTACAATCACCCCCTCTCAGTGCCCCAATGCTTTTAAATACACACTCTCCCCCTCAGCTTGACCATGCAGATTATGCCAAGACTCGTTGCTGGACCGAGGAAGACTGGAAAAGGTGGTGCATGACTCCAGAAGGACAAGGTGCTAACTCACAGATGTCGTTTCTTGAGGACAAGAATGGGGAAGCACTTCCAGCTGCAAGGATCACTAACATCCTCCAGGCAATGCGAAGTATCTGGCATGAGTTCCATAAATATGGACTCATCAATGCTCAGACAACTTGGTCCTCGATGCCATTGACACTCAAGAAGGCATTCCACCTTGAGATCATGCAGTCTTTTCCAGAACTCAACTTATGTGCAGACCACTGGAAGAGTGATATGCTTGCAAAGAAACACTACTCATCCTTTAAGCAGACTTGGTTCACTAACAGGTCAGATGAGAAAGTTGCCAGCTTTGCTAAGTGCAAGATGAAGACTGAAACAGCAGAGAACATGGTATCACCAACACCCAAATGGCCAAAACTTCCTCTTGGGTCTCAATTGCTGACTGAGGGCGATGGTAGTGCTAGTGACAGTCTGCAGATTGACATGCCAAATGAGCCATCTCCAACTACTCATTCCAACTCATTGCTGCTTACCTTCAATTGGACTAATGATGAGGGTGTCCCTACACCCAACAATGAAAATGCTCATGCACCAGGCAAGACTGCATATATACAATTTTGGTGCTACTAATTTTTTGTAGGCAAGCCCACAGCATTGGATGTGCCTCCACTGAGCACAAGCAACAACATGCATGCTCCAGCCAAGAGCACATGTACAGGTCTGTGAAGCTACTATTTTTTTTTGTAGGCAAACCCATGGCATCAGACATGCCTCCATTAAGTGCAGGCAAGGACACGCATGCTCCAGGTGAGGGTGCATGTGGAAGATTATGGTACTACTAATTTTCCTTAGGCATGTCTCTCAGGCTAGTTGGTTTTGGAGGATGACATGCTGCAGGATTGTCAAGTCTATGGAGAGGAATATACTCAGACTTCAAGTTGGTTGAAGCTAAACAATGAACTACCTATGGAGAGGAATATACTGTAGGTAGGTAAGTAAGTGTTCCAATATAATGAATGGAAGGAGTCCCACCTCAGACTTCAAGTTGGTTGAAGCTGAGGTGCAGTAAGGAAAAATAAACTGCTAAGTGTCCGCTTTTGGATTACATAATGCTGTGCTCGGTGAACCACAACTAAGGTAAAGGTGATAAACTCCAACATGCCCCTTCAGCGAGTATAGTCAAGAAGGAATTAAAAGAAAACAATACCCATAGCTTCAGAGAAACGAACATGCTTCTCCCTAGACACACCCTTAGTCAGTACATTGGCCACCTGGTCATTGGTAGACACATAGTTGATGACTACTTCTCCAGAATCCACCTTCTCTCATATGAAGTGATGATGGATTGCAATATGTTTCGTGCAGTCATGGAACATCGCATTTCGAGCCAGTGAGATAGCAGATTGATTGTCGATGAGGAGGGGAGTGGGTTCATGTGATGACACAGTCTCGAGTTCGAGGACTAGGGTACAAATCCAGATAGCTTCCTTCATGGCAGTGCATGCAGCCATGTACTCAGCTTCTGTACTTGAGAGAGCAACAGATGATTGCTTTTTCAATGACCAGCTAACAGCTCCACCAGAAAGGATGAACATATAGCCAGTAACAGAGCAGCAGTCATTGATATCTGCTGCCCAATCTGCATCTACATACCCAATCATGCATGCATTTGAGTCTCACTTATAGGTAAGGTGGACATCGGGGGTGCATTGCAGATAGCAAAAAACACACTTTAGAGCAGTAGAGTGTTCATGCCCAGGGCATGCAGCATGACAGCTCAACACACCTACAGTAAAGGCAAGGTCAGGCCTCGTTGCTAGCATTGCATACATGAGGGCTCTGAGAGCGCCCTGGTATGACTTGGTGTCAGCCTCTGGAATTTCTAGTTTTTTGAGCTTTAGGTTAGGCTCAATGGGGGTCGCGACAGCTTGCCCCTTGCTCATTCCAAAGCACTCGAGAATACTCTCAACATATCTCTTCTGTGAGAGCTGTATGATACCTTTATCACAGTCATGAAGTATCTCCATTCCTAAAATACAATGTGCCTCCCCCAGATCTTTCATCTTGTACTCCTGCGAGAGCTGAGCCTTGACATGCTCAATGGTTGTGCAGCACTTTGAGAGTATTAGCTTGTCATCTACATAGACAGCAACAACAATGAGTATGCCATTCTCGACTTTAAAGAAGAGGCTATGGTCGGCCTGGCTTTGAGTGAAACCCAGGGATTCGAAAACAGTCCAAAGGTGAGAGTACCATGACTTGGGGGCCTGTTTAAGGCCATAGAGTGCTCATAGCAGCCACCAGACTTTGTTGCTGTCAGGAGGAAAGCCCGGAGGGGGGCGAAGGTATATTTCTTCATCTAACAGTCCATTTAGGAATGCAGATTTAACATCCATCTGATGAATTTCGAGATTATACTTAGCGGCAAGTGCCAGGAGTATGCAGATGGTTGTGAACTTGGTTACAGGTGCAAACATCTCTGTGTAGTCAATCCCGTGTACCTGTGTAAAGCCTTTGGCTACCAAATGAGCCTTGTACCTCTCAATTTCACTGGTCGGCCCTTGCTTGATCTTGTAGGCCCATTTCGAGTCAATCAGTTCATGGCCAGGGGGCAGGGCAACTTCCTCATACAGTCCAATGGACTTAAAGGTCTGTAATTCATCAATCATTGCAGCATACCACTGATCTGCATCGGTGCATTGCATTGCATTCACTGCAGAAATGAGATTTTAGCAGGGGGCATAACCAGATTCTCCAAATGTAGATAATCTGACCTTGATTTTTTTTTGTAAGATATAGCTATTAGTCTGAGTAAAGTCCGACTCAACAATTTTTGAGTAACATATCCAAACAATCCGACATAGGCAAGATCCGAATATAGGCAATACACCAATAGCCTGACCTCTCGCACGTGCATTTCCCCACCCCGACTATGCTCGACTCCATCGGCCATAGTCCAACTATAATACCATCGGAAGAGTGGCTCTTGCCACCCTTGCACCCCTCAGAAAAAATAATGGACTTTGCGAAAATTTTCCTTGGTCTCCAAGTTCACCGGTTTGCCATGTACACCATGAACCAATCCAAGGTATGTCGTACTCAAGTCCTCCAGCCTATCTACTCACCTCCAAAAGTTCCATATCGATGCTAACCAGGTGGTTCCAACCTCACAAGCCAACAAAACCAAGTTTGTTGGTCCCCCGACAGTCATCAAACGTAGGCCACACATCCTTTGACTTCATGTCCCAACCAGTGTCCAAAACATTATGCTCTCTTTCGAGCCAAACTCCCAAGGCCCTGTGGTATGTGTGGCTAATTACCATTCATGTGTCTTCCACTCATGGCCATACACCAGACCATAGAAATCTCCCTAACGACAATGTCACCAGAGCTTGGCAATGATACCTTTCATGCAACTCAAGCATGCATTGTCAACTTCGGTGCTAACGTTGGTACTGGTGGGGTTAAGTTGGAGGCAGAAGTATGTTTTCGCGCAATCTTTCATTATTTGGAGGTTGAAAGACTTGTCGGGTATGGTTTTTAATTGGAGCTGTTCCCTCTGGCTCTATTGCATGTCAGGTGAGCGCTTGCAATTCTCATATTATTCATGCACTACCAGATGATACCTTTTCATTATTAAAGACATGCTTGGCGACTTCTTTAATGAACATGTCATTCAGTTTGTCGTCTACATTGCCGAGCCAGTTGGGGCGCCAAAGACGTGTGCTGTCACTCGTTGATATGAAAGGTTCGTCATTCTCGAGTGGTTTGATAGCAGCAAGGGCTGCGATGTGGTTTCTTTTCGTCCCTTCACACTTGATTCCACACATGTGAGAGAAGAGCGGCTGGATAATAGACTGGTGCCCAGTGAGTGTGCACTCTGATACTGAACGATAGCATAACATACCTTGAGAACAGAATGGTCATTTGAATTTGTTCTCGATGAAGTATGCTTCTGTTGATCCACACATTTCTCCTGCAGTTCTCTAAGCATTTGCTCGACAGTTTCAAGGCACAAAATGAGAGATTCAGTTGCCTCCCTGATGCTGGTAAGCTGTTCTTCCATGCTGGTGTTGGCCTCGCTGAGGTGTTTGACATGAGCCGTGAGCTGTGCAACCGTAGCATGCAAGCTAAGCTGGTCTCCTTGGTAAGATCCAGTTCGAGAGCGGGATGCTGAATATAAAGTCTGATAGTCTTCCATTGGCATCTCACTACGTCCTCTGCCATTTGACTGACTATGGGAAGGTCTTCCAGCATACGAGAAGGACGTTTCGTCATGACCGTTGACACCCCCATGGTAAGGAGTGAAGCCAAGATGTTGGCTTGGTTGGTTTCCTCGGTGTGGATAGGATACCTCGTCCTGCGATCCCTGCAAATCGACGGCACTGGTCAGCTCCATCATATCAAAGGAGAACTCGGGTGACAAGAGCTTGGCAGATAGGGTGAGTTGATCGATCAACTGACAACAATGATTAGTATTGACTGACCGATGGTCCACCGTGGTCTCTTCGCTGAGCAGGGCCAGGGCCAAATGGATCATCTAGGCCTGGCGCAGAAGGGAGGCGAGTGCCCTGCAGGGTGTTTGAGGGTGCCATGTTCATCTGTGGTACGTGATGTCCACACGTGATGCTATTAATATTCTGGCTCAATGACTGGGATCCAGGTATCGCTCCACCACTCGGAAGTCTTTGGCATTGAAGGTGCAAGGAACTGGAGGGCATCATGTGTGTCTGGGTCTGTGGTATGTGATGACTGCGATGAGTTCCCTCCTGGCTCATCAACTGGGACCCAGGCATCAGCGGTGGGGCGCCACCTGTGAGCCTCTGTGAATGCATCATATCCTGCCATTCACCAAGGAGGGGAGCAAGCAAATGTGGGCGATTTTTTTGCATGGCTGGGGGCACTGGGTAGGCATTTTGGAAGCACGTGTTGTACTAGGCACTCATCAAATATAATCTGATCTGGTTATCCTGAAAAACATGACTGAAGGCAGGAAGATCAATTGCATTTATACGATTTAACTCGGTGTACATAGCTCATAGTCACATTTGAATCTGATCTGATTATTGTCGCAAAGGTAAAAATCATCATGGTGATAGGCATGCAAATCCGACCAGATTATGCTCCAAAACAAGAACACTTCAGCACTATATTCAGACATATTATTAGGAGTAGCTACCCTCAGGATATACGACGGTTATTGTCATTGACCCGACTATCTCCAGACCTGATTAAAAACCCGTTTCCGCAGTGATTGTTGAATGAGCGAGGTTCATTGTCATGTGTTGTGGATGCTTTGTAAGCCACTTCCTCATTCATCTCAGCCACCTCAGCCTTGCTGTTGCCACACGCACACTCTCGCTCTCGAGCGACTTCATCGACAGGGCTTCCACCCTCACTCTCTGCACCTGAACCCTCTGGCGCCACAAGCTGTTGACTAGGGAAGGTTTTCCTGTCATAGGAATTGATGAAAAAGCGATAATCATCATCTCTAGGTGGCACTTTTCATGTTCTGGTGGACCTGTGGGTCTCTCGAGGCAGAATTGGAGTTGGATAGGGCTGTGGGGGTGTCGCTTTATGCATGGTAGGTTTCGGCATCGTCCTAGCTCACTTTACTGATGGTTTCGAGG